TACTGGGGCGCGCGGACCCCAACACGGCGGCCCTTGCCTCCGGTCAGCACCTGCTGACGCCGGCGGGTGTTAGCGCCACCAGACAGGCCGATGACGTCACCTGGCGGATGCGCTCTGCTGAGAGGACAGGAGACAGGACAGAGAGTGCGCTGGCGGCGGTCAGAGCCTCGGCGCCCCCTTGTCAGCTCATGTATCAGTAGTAGTAGCAAGGACATTTGAGCTAATTGGGTTTATAATGCAGGTAGCACATCAGTGTTCTTACTGGAGGTACTGCATGAAGTCCACGATTAATGCAGCACTGGTTTCTGATGATAGATCACCCACCTTGTACTGCACTCCGGAAACATCGCAAATTTTGGAACAGAGGCCATCTAATGCGTCGATCTCTCGCATAAGATGGCCTTTTTCCAATTCCTCCAAATGAAGGGTTGCAAGACATTTCTCCTGGAAATGACAACAGTGATTGAAAAATGTCACAATTTAGCATTAACATATGGTGCATGAATATGCACAATGCAAAACATGTACACATGCATGCATGCATGAATGCCTGCACACTCGCACGCACGCACCCACGTTCGCACCCACGCGCGCATGCACGCATGCGCGCACGCACGCACGCACGCACGCACGCACGCACGCACGCATGCACACACATACACACACACACACACCACAGATATAGGAATGTGCATGTATATATTGCACAGAAAAGTGCACAATAATATGTTGTACATATATATTATGCAGTTCTAGCTATCTGCTAATCACACACCAGTCAGTTTAACTTGTTATGAATTTGATTTAAGATGCTTGATGCTTGCCATGACAATTGCCAGATTTGTGATGGTGGAGATATACCTGCTGATGATAGTACAATAGAACAAATAAGCCTGTAATCTTAGTGATATGCATATGCCAATTGCTTGTGTTAATAGCTCACCAATGGTGGAAGCCTTGTGAGTGACGAGTAGGGTGCGACCTCTGAGACGGGCGGCAGCCGCGGCCGCCTCCGTGCCCGCGTGACCGCCGCCCACCACAATGACGTCATATGCGGGAGGGTGGTGGGCACCAGAGTGGCGACTCCTCCGACCCACGGTGTGCAAAAGACGACACAGACCTTGCCAAAAATGTACTGTGATGTCAGTAACATTGTTTGTCAACTGCCATGCAATTCAATCACCATCTACTCCCAAAGTGGTCCCAAAATACATGCACAAAACTCATAAATAGCATTAAAGTTACCCAGCAAAAAGAAACATGATTGAAAAAGAAACTTGCATCATATAACCATGCTAATGGCAGTACATCTGCTTGGGGCCTCCTGACCAATAGCACAAAGATCCCATACAGAAATTGATGAATTCAGTATAGTTGGTGAATACTGGCTGTCTCAGAGCACTGTCACACTGGCTTCAAATGCTATTTGATATTGCTGCCACGGTGCACATGCCCTATGAGGCTTAAGCATATGCAATTTCATTTGCAATCTTGATAGCTTTATGGGCCTGGATATGGCTAACCATTGGATGGTATACTATTGCATGCATGCATACAGGCCAGAATGTGTGTTGCCAGCCAGAGTATTACCCCTTTCCTATCAGGTACTTAAGCTAATTGGCTTTCTAAAGTCCTCCCAAATAGGGGCAGTACCACAGGGTGGGCACAGTGAGCAGTCACCAACCCTGGTGTCAAACAGAATGGGTGAACATCTTTTTATCTGTCATGAAATTTAAGGAGTCCCCTTGAAAGCTATGATAGGTCCAATGAACATGGTCACCACTTATAATCCTGTCATGATGCCCAGCCATGACCAACACCATATACTTCAATGGCCACAAAAATGCAATTAAAGGCCCCTTATCCTTTAAAATATTCCTACACCTACAACTTGTGTCCAATCACAACCTTGGAACAAGTGAGATGCAGAATACAGTCAGGGATTGACAATCAAGATCGTGCATACCTATACCTGTGGTAAAATTCAAACCGAATTTAAGAAGATGGGCACTGGACTACATTACCAACAGCTATCTTAAATCTTACTACACATACCATTCATAGTAATGTCTGCTTATTGAATCAACACGTCCAATTTGGTCAAAACAAACACGAAGCTAAGTTTGAAATAACTCAACTTCAAACGTCATCTGACAGAGACTGCCTATGCATATTCTAAAGCACGCCTATATGTTAGGTTATTATTAGAGATATGCACGTCGAAGGCGATAGTGCCCCCCCCCCCCCCCCGTTTTTAATATGGACACAGCATTTGTCTCCTTCGCGTATCACTTGTATTCATCAGGAACATTTTACTCAAGACTGCGAAGCTGCTGGCATCTATGGCAAAAAATGTGAACTTTAGGAGGGAAAGGAGAGCACGGGTGGTTGAACGCCAGCAGTGCTGGCGGGGTTAGACGCGTGGCGTACCCGGGAAAGCCTATGTATCTCATTTATTTGTTTACCCATTCCGTTGTACGCAAATATCCGCATCGCAGTTCGCAGTAAAAAGGTGCGCGAAGACGTACGTCGCGTTCCCCAAAAAGACGAGTTCATGACATATCTCACAGCAATACCGTTGCGATGCTGACGGTGTCGCTGGGCCTTACCTCCTGTCCTTACCTCTGGTAGCCAGCCTGCATTTGCCCATTTCCATACTGCGTCGTGTATGACCTCGGCTGCTCAGTGCCCGACCCGCCCGCTGCCGGAAGGGCGCCGTGGAATGGACCGTGGCGATGCAACTCCTTTCATATGACCGGACTGGCGGGCTAACTGGCCAAGAAACAATCCAGTAGGGCACAGCCACCCATTTCGTGGCAATGATGTGACTTCCGCAGTTTGTGTGTTACTGTCTGTCCTTGGTTGCTCCGAAATTCAGCGCCGTGTGGCATGTCTTTATAGGGACAGTGATTGCATAAATTGCATTGCTCCCGCAAAAATAAATATTCGCGCTCAGGGGAGCCAAGAAGTTCATTAGAGTACTCAAAATTAACTAACAGTACAGATATCAATACCTTGGGCACAAGCCGGGCCAGTGGGCGACCATGAAAAAGGACGACACTAGCACATCGTTACTTTGAAGCATATTCGTAACTTACGTGATTGAGCTTCGCTGGGTATCCCAGCCATTCAGCTCGTCAGCAATATTCGAGGACGGCCACGAGCCCATCAGCTTCCCCGCCAATGCCCATAGCATGCCCCACGTCGCTACGGTTCGAGGCCCATTATATGCAGAGGGGTCAGGAGAGCTCGGCGTAATAACTTCAGCATAGCCATCCGCATCATGCGTAGCCATTGACTGACGGCTCATATGAAAGCATGAGGCCGATGAAAAATCGCAGTTGATGTAACTGCCGCGTTCAGAAACCATCAAACGTGCGATAACTACTGGTCATCGCGCCATACTTCACCGTCCCTTTGACCTCAGTCGCACCAAGAGTCCACTTGCGTAGGACATTCCGCGGGTAGGAGCGTCAGTTTGAACGCTTGCTTCGGGGCGAGGCCGTGGTATGCTGCAGATTACTTGTGAGGTAACTCTAAGCAGCCCCGTCCCGTCGGCGGTCCAGCGTTCCTATGCGTCCCGTCCGTTGAACGTCATGGTGGCGGAGGCTACTCTGAGCAAGTAGGGACGCGTGGCTCCACCATCACCGTTCGCCACGGCACTCCCTGTAGGGAGGACTGCCCCAGGATTGGCCGAAATTACTGCCCGGTGTTGGAAATACCCATGGAAGCCTACAAGCCTGCCGCCAGCGCTGGGCGTCCACTACAAGAACCTCGGAGTTGTCAGGCGGAGCGTGCCGCCTCCTACCCCGTCCTCAGTTATGAATGACCTCCCAGTAAGTTGGTCGCACGGGTAACGCCCTAAAGCAAGTACGAATGGGCCGAAACCAACGAGATCTCCCATATTACGACTAGTTGAGTTCATTGGCGACACTGTGTTTGTCGAAGGGAATGTTCTACATCGGAAGATATTGAAACATATACGTATGTAAACTATGTGAACTATGTGTACATTTACGTAGAAAACGCTCCACTAGGCAACCCAATTTCCCTGCTAAGCAAATATGCTCCTCAATCCGTCTTTGCTTGATTACGTACATCATACCCCGTACGGATTGAGAGACAATTGGCGGTAGCCATATCTGGAAACCGTACTCACGAACGACAGATGTGAACGACAAGGCGATTATATTTGCTTGGCCCTGACCGCTGCCAAGGCCAATGGAATGGAAAGATTTGAATGACGTTCTTATGGCGTCATGGATGACTGGGTGGCCTCAAAAAGTGTGCACATTATCGCAGGCGCTTAGCCTAAAACTAAAAGGGTCAAGGTCTTCAGAAGGCAGGGCTGCAAACTGCACCGACTGACCTTCAGCATGGCTGTTTCAGCTGCAAACCCCATACAAATGTGAAACACCCCCTATAAATGGATTCACACTTGTAGAATCGACGAAGGCCGGGCCTCTGACATTCTGGCACCCTGTGATACTGCACCGTGGCGCTCCACTCCACCCCAAGTTCAGGGAAAAACAATGAATGCGTCCGAAACTCACCATGAGGTTGTGACGTTCGCTCCACAATAGAGGTTAGGCCTAAACTCAGCAAGGGAGCGCGCGACTATCTGGGCACGACACACCTGAACTGTTCGGAAATGGGTGTAGAAGCTGTCTGGCAAAGCCTTGCTTAACTTTGTATTGCATCACCGATCATTTTATAACGAATGTTACAATAAATTAGCACACAACGTCACGTGAATTCACCATCGACAAAACATCAATTTGCTGCCGCAAGCTATCGTTTTGACATGACTGGCAAACTCCGAATTGGAGACGTGATTGGCGAGCCCAAAGTCGGGGCTACGTAATTGGTGAACTCCGCCAACGCTGGGCGACATGATTGGCGATCTCAGAACGGAGTGACGTTTCCATTGGCGACGCTATGGCGAGCGCATCAGACGGTGGCGTATGCCCTAACCGTCGCGCACGACCCACGATTCAATGCTACCTTTTGAACACCTCGCACACGATCACTGGTGGCGGCCGCGGCGGGCGGTCTTGCTGTTATCCGCTGTTAGCAGTGTCACGCCCACCGGCAATGTCGCCGGTGGCTCACTGCACTACCGCTAAAATAACGCATACAACAAACAGTTTATACAAAATTAGTACATAACGAGAAGGCGTTAGCTGTAGAAAACACGCCACACAGACGGAGCGCTGTGAGGGACGCGCCGGCCGGGCTGGCCGGCCAATATCACACAGCCGGCGCGGGGTTGACGCCGCCGCCGGGACGCCGGGCGGTGCAGTGCGGGCGCAGAGCCGGGCCGGCCGGCGGCGGGCGCGCGCCGCCCACACACCTCGTCCGGCGCCAGCTCGTCGGCCGGAGGCACCTGCAGCGTGTTGAGGCCGGCGCTGGGCGGCGACGACTCGCCGCTGCCCGCCAGCCGCGCCTCCAGCTTCTGGATCTTGTCGTCGTGCTTCACGATCACCGCCTTCATCTTCCGCATTTCCATCATCAGGTCGTCGAAGCGTTTGTCCTAGGTTAGCAAGAGAGCGGCTGGGTGAGAGAGTGTGGGTCGGAGATAGCGGCCGAGCTAGAGGGCGTGGGTCGGAAATGGCGACCGAGCAAGAGGGTGTGGGTCGGAAAGAACGGCAGGGTATGGATCAGAGAGTAGGGAACAGTGAAGGGGAGGGAACGGTGGGTCACAGAGGACGGCAGTGTACTAGCGTCGGAGGGGAAGGCAGTGTCTGTGTGTGTGTGTGGGGGGGGGGGGGGGTCGGAGGAGGGGAAGGACCGATTTCGGCGGTGCAATGGCGGAGGACATACTTGGTGGTACCGGGGCAGCAGCACCATTCGGTGCAGTACACATTGAACCACACATTGTGAACCATTGAGCAACGCGAGCAGATTGCATCTTGCGGCAAGTGAAATCCACGGATGGGAAGTAAATGTAGACTTTCACTTTGTCCCAGCCCTTCATACGCCAACAAACGTACAAACATCTGAACAATCACGAAGGTATACGATTCCTTTTCTGGAAAGTAAACCACTACATGCCGCGCTTATGCTATGAGGCATGAGCGATCGGTCCACATAGCAGCGAATCCTCATAATATGTTAAAAAGTTGTCGAAAGTCTAACAGCCCCTGTCAAACAAGTCGAAAAGCCCCTGGCAACAGACCAGGAAAGTGTCATGCATCGCTCACAGACCACCAGCACAGCGAACCAGCGGAATCATTTGTGTTACATTTGTCTGCAGACGTGGCAGCTCCTCGCTTCAAGAGTTTCATTAGTTTTTTTTTTCTGCGGGTGGTTGGGGACAGTATTTTGGCGCCGTCATTAGGGTCGAGCATTGCGAAACAATGCACCTGAGCTCAGTGCTCACTGTGACTTGTTCTGCAACATTCGGACCGACACTGGATACCAAAAAAGGTGATTTTTCTGGAAGCAAAGAAGTGACTAAAATTCAACCAGGAAATATCATCGGTATCATTCTATGTCACTGGTAAATTACTGTGCTATTAGTGAGGAGGAAAAAAGTGAAGAGCATATACATGTTCACATAAAGCACGACCGACACCATGCAAACTACACAAACAGTGGCGTCATCTAACCTGCAAAAGCTTCTGCAAAGAAAACTTACGATGTTATGGCTTCATTTTTATCTGAAAGCGGAGACAGCGGCCAGCACTTTAAAAACGACAATTCTGGGCCCCACACCTATATCGCCTATATGTTTAATCCTGGGTCACCACACGTACTATCGTCAGTACGCTGATTCCCACCCACGCCAATACACGACCATGGGCCCAGGACGTCACACCAACCGGCTGCCACACTAGGCCGACTCACGTATGCCTTGGTGGCAGCGGCGACGGCGTCCTCCACGCGCTCCTTGACCTGCTGCTCTGAGAAGCCCGAGCCGACGCCCTGCGCGTCGGAGCTCTGCTGCATCTGCGAGGCCGTCTTCTTCTTGTCCAGCACGTTGGCCTTTTTCACCACCTTTTTTAGCTCCTTTTTCGGTGTCGAGAACACCGGACCGTCTGCAGCACGGGCCACGACGTGAGGACATGAGGACATGAGGACATGAGGATATTGGTCGAAAGGGTACCGACGCTGCCGAGAGTCGGGAACTTCTGCCACCACAACATAAAGAACAATGGATAAGTGCCCTACAAGGTTGTGAAACAGATCGTAAGATGATAGCCTGGTGTGTTTGGGTGTACGGCCCGGAAAATGACCAGCCATTATAATCAGGTCCGAAAAAAGTGCAGCCGTTTTCTTAGCCCCGGTGCGAGCACGTAAGGTTGGTACATCACTCGAACTAGTGGGTTCATTTCTACGACGCAAGTACAGCGCAATGAGGGAGAAATAAGCCGCTTACGAATCGCCATCAAACGTTTGAGTGTACGTTGCTTTTAACCACGCAGCGCCAATAACCCGGCACTCCATTATCTTCTTCCTCCCCCGTTGCATTATTAAAAGGGATCCAGCAAGTGACATTAGCTCTGAGACATGCGGACATTTCGATCTTGTTGCCCACTGCCAAGAGTTCCCATTCTTCCTTATGCTTAAGCTTATTGTCGACATTCTCCGGCGTTCAACGAAGCCGACTTTTCTACACAGCCCCCAAGCCTGCTTTTAGCTGTTTCTAAACGGAAAGTACGCACTGCTCGACCCGACCAACCAGCTGACCGCGAACGGTGCAGTCGGCGCGTCCGGCGCCGATGACCCGCGACCGAGACCGAGGCGCTCGCACCAACTGCCGCTCACCTTTGAGCGAGACCAGGATGGGCTCAGCGTTGGCGCCCTCCAGCCACTCCTCAGCGGTGATGGCCGGAGTGTCGCCCATCGTGTCTGGGTACAGGTCCTCCTGGAACAGCTCCGACTGCAGCCGGCCAGACACCGTGCGTCAGCGCCAGCTGGCCCGCAAAGCACACGCACCACACACCGCGGGCCACGGACCGGTGAGCGGCCCCGGCGCCGCCAGCGGCGTCACCACATCCGTACGCCAGGCAGTCGCTTAGCTCCTTTGACATGGGATGGAGTGGGTGACAACCCGCATTCAGGTCAAATAACCAGGGCGCATGGCCACCGTGACGTCATTAAATTTGGCACGCAAGATTGGTGTTTGGGTTCTGGATTCAATTGAGAAAGTTTGACGACGTTCTTGATAGTAGTAACGAAGTTACGGGTGGCTTAAATATTACAGTTCAAGATACGTGCCCAATGATTAACCGCCAGCCGATGAATATCAGATAGCATGACACCCTCGAATGCATGAAGGGTGGGCATTTAATGAAAAAACGACCTCTGTGTAAGTGACATTTCGTTTCGTTGATCCCGAAGCCAGGGGCAATCGAGGATTTGAAGGCATGATGTCAACGTGCATATACAGGAATTTGTTTCAAGCGCAGGCAACTAAGTGCTTCATTCTGGCTTTAAATGTGGTGTCTCTGAACCGCTGTCTAGTGCAACAGCTGGATTTGGCGGTAGTTATGGCCACGCGGTTATGACGGCGATTTTGGAGAAGTTCAAGCGTCGTCGTTTCCAGACGCCACAAAGCTCTGCATGGCAGCTGTGGGAACAAGATGAAGTTGTTTTCATCATATGTCTTGTTCATTCCCACCGGTGCGTGCCAAACGCAACTAATGGCGGATGCATCGCAATGACGCCACTCGGCTTCTCGTCGCCAAACGACCCCGGCGGCTGGGGCGAACTACGTACATGGCCTGCGGGCGGTCATGGACGGGCCGAGGACAGCGCGTTTGCGGGGTCCGCGGCGACCCGACCTCTGTCCGGGGCGGGGCGCGTCCTCCCCTCTCCAGTCGGCCGCTCTGGTCATGTGATGTGGCGTGGGGACAGCCCCACACTCTCATCTCTCACCTTCCGCGGTACGACGAACGGGTGTACGGCCACGAAGCCGTTGTTGCTGACGCGGTAAAACCGCGAGATCTCGCATGCCTGGACGTCACAGCCTCGTTTGGGCATCATTCCTACGGGTGAAGCGACCGTTGTCGTCAGCAGGGCGAGACCATGCCAGGCGCGGCTACAACGGGAGACGGGCCATGGCAAGATGGGCAAAAAGAACATTGGAAGATGGACACTCGCAGCACTCGTTAACAGAAACACCGCTGATATCTCGATCAATCTATATTAATCGATCGTCTGGGTGGAGCGGCGGCATCGCACGACAGCATGAAGACTAGCAACAACTCATGTTGGAAAGTTGAAATTCAAATTCCGTTTCCAAAAGCATAAACGGGGCTGCTCCTCTTTTGGTTTTTCTTTGCATTTGGGAATTAAAGTGAATGCGTTTATGTCATGATTTGCATATTCACGTACGCCTTGCAGGGTTGCTTTCCAAAGTATTTTTCATGGCACCAAACGTGAATATCTCTTTCAATGTCAGCCAGGGAAACTGTGCTGTAATGTCGTTTGCTATTGTTGATGGGAGTATGCCGCCTCTTGGCACTTTTGATTAATTACTAGATCAGGCGCGTCCGATTTTATAGGAACACCAGTTTTAAAATAACGTAGGTTGTTCAGTGCATTGGCGAGGAACATTATTCGCATAGATAAGACTGCAGTATTAGCCTTATTCATCGGAGAAAAAAACCAGGAGAATGGGGGTATAGTTTGGTTGATGGTTGGCGACATGACTTTATCGCTACAATACCAGAAACAGGCCTCTGCTATTGTTTAGATAAAGGCATGTTGCCGAAATATCAACCCAACTATATCTATTCTCCTGGTTTTTCTCCGAGGAATAAGGCTAATACTGCTGTAATATTTATGTGAGCACCAATTTTCTCGAAATCATTCTGAAAAGCCCCCAATTTCGAAAGGAGGTAGCCACTCCGGCGGGAGAAATGAGCTAACTGAACTACCTCCAACATGAAAGTAATACTTCTCATCTGGGCTGTTTTTTCTCTAGTGGGTGTGAAACCGGAATGTTTGCGCAATAATTTTTCAAAAGCTCAACATACTCTAATCAGGGAGAAGATATACAAATATGGTGCTCTCATCATACAAAATGAACGAAACGTATTAATATGGCTTTGATTTCTCCCCTGTCGCGTTTTGCACCGTGGCCCTTTTCGAATCACATTCTAGCTTTGGGAAACAGAGTCCCACACGGTCTCTAGTGACGCACTGGTCCAAGGTCCACCGGTGCGCTTCTGGTAAATGGCCGTCGCCGCCCGCGGTGCCAATCACAAACGTTCACTTGTACTGACGCCAATGATACCAGTACAGGTGCCATTTTAGGCCCGCAGGCACGCACTGCGCGGGTTACACCGGATAAAAAGTGGCAACTCTAGCCTGCACCAGCTGACGACGGCCACTGGCAAATTCTGTCGTCGTCACGACGGCCACAACTGACATGAAGACGGCAGTCACGACAACTTCGGTCGTCGCTGACTAGTGGTACACTCTGGGGGTCACCGCGAAAGAAAACGTGTAGTGCTGGGACAGAACGCTGACAGCGAAATTGGGAATGGGAAATAATTGCAATTAACCTCCTCACTTTATCCTGGTGGTGCTACAATAACATAACCCACCAACGTCCTTTGACCTAGCTGGTCCCGACGTTACGCCGGACCATGTTCTTGAAATATGCCCCCAAGGCGTGACATCCCCTTTCGAACTTCATATAGAGGTCGCAATTCACATTTCTTTATTGTTGCCATGTCTTCATAAGCTTGAAAGTTTGCTGCACATCGTACACCCCCTTCAACGGCCACACAAGAATACGCTTTAGGATGTCAAGCTCGCGCCGGTTGGCCCCAGGTACCAAGTCATTCCATCAGCTCCACAGTCCATCTGATCACAGTTAACTTAATCGAGTCGCGCCGCTGGTCACTGCTTCTGCAGAGCTGCAGCGCCAGCCCGTCTCGGCTAGGTGGTGAGCCTCCTGACTCGGACACCGACCTATTGCTCGCTGGGGGTCGGGCGTCTGGAAGGTATTGATGTAATGGACGAACGGCGGCTCTGGTGTGATCTCGAAGTACCGGATCACACTGTCACCCTGGCGAGCGGAGCACAGGTGAGTGAGTACACCAACGTGATGCTCACTCCTCGTGCGATTACAGCAATGCTCAAAGTGTCGGTGGAAACATGCAGTTTGAGATGCATTTCACAATACATGATCTACAATTTAATCCACCTTACTCTGTTCACAAATGAATATAATGATCGGTGTTTTACGGGAAGCAAGTCACATTACAGTACATGGTTGCATCCATACTTCAGTTATGACACGCACAAAAGCCTTCTTGCAGAGTACACGGGATGAAAACATTAACAAATTGAGTTGTAGAAAACTAGTCACAACTTTGGTCAACATCAAATTTGTTTTCGAGTTCGCATTTTCCACAGAATTTCGGTTGAAAACTCAATCGACTTCTAAAATTGAACAAGCAAAGACGCATCAAAAACTCTGGGTGTCTGCGTCATTCATAAGCTCCGTTATCGAAAAACGATCACAACCACTTCCTTGCCGGATATGTTGCACTCATGCCTTCATATCTGAAATTGCCACACAATTGTGGCCCAACCATCTGCATAGCTTTGAAGAGGTATCACAAACTGGTCAAAATGGATGTTCATAGCTGCGTTGTTTCTTCGAACACATCTTCACGCGACAACTAAGGCTGGCTGATTAGGTTTGTATGCGGACAGCGAAACGAAACGCCGTTTTCCTTGCTCCGACATTGACCACTGACGACAAACTATTGCATCTAAAGTCCTGGAGTTATTTCCAACTTTGCCAGCAAAATGAACAGGATTGTAGTGTTCCAAATGTGGTATGGATGTAATTATAACCAAGTCAGCACTACAACAAACCTACATCTCATGAAATCACAAACAAAGAACCTAGGCATTAAATATCTGGCGGAGTCGTGCGTTCGCACGGCAGCAAACCCGCTTCATGAGGCGAGGCCTGGCTCGCGCCGCGCCCTACGGTGATGGTGATGATGATGATAATGATCTGAGCTTGCGGGCGCGTCGACGGCAGGGGTCATTCTGCGCCCATTTGCGCCGGGCCCTACCTTGCCACACAGGTAGACTAGGTTGGTGTCAGGGTCGTAGAGCGGGAACATGACGCCGTTGCTCGTGTCCAGCTCCACCATGACGATGGGATCGCTGAGGTGGCCGGGCGCCCGCAGTGAGTACTGCCTCTCTGACATCCGGCTGAAGCCGGTGGTGAACACCAGTCCGTTCTTCAGGAAGATGGCCCGGGAGCCCTTGCTGCCCTCGTGCGACACCGCCTCCTAACAATGGCCAGAAAGCGTCATGCACTTACATACAAGTGTACTCTGGCACAGGCAACACCCCCTGTTTACGAACTAGCTGCTGGTGAGACCGCAAAGATAGGGCCGAGGCAACCACAAGTCAGTCATTTGATTTGGTCACGGAGGTAAGCTTACTGGAGATGGGAATGAAAGGGTGCGGCAAACGGGGCGCGGCACAGTTGACATACAACACAAACCGCGGGCCAGCTGTCACGTCCGATGCACTAGGACTGCATTCCGAGATACCGACTCGTCAGTAGCTTCACGGCAATCGCCATGGGACTGAATATGACTAAAAGGCAACATGCATATCTGATGGAGGACTCGGGTTCTGCGCTCTCTGACTAACTCAGTTCACTCTCTAGTTCACTCATTCTTATCGTTCCTTAGTTCGCTTCTCATTCCTTTCCAGCCCGCTGAGCGCGTACAGAAGTCTCGGGGGCACGCGCGCGTACAGCCGTGCCCACAAGCCTCGGGGGCACGAGCGCGTACAGTCCTGCCCACAAGTCTCGGGGGCACGAGCGCGTGCAGCCGTGCCCACGAGTCCCGGGGACACAAGCGCGTACAGTCATGCCCACAAGTCCCGGAGGCACGAGCGCGTACAGCCGTGCCCACAAGTCCCGGAGGCACGAGCGCGTACAGCCGTGCCCACAAGTCCCGGGTGACGCACCTCCTCAATCTCGCCGGAGCGCGGGTCGAGCACGCGGATCTTCTTGTCCTTGCTGGTGACGAGCAGCTTGGAGCCGTCCCACGCCCAGCTGGCCGACCAGATCTGGTCAGGCACCGTGTCGATCACCACCATGGCTTCGCCGTTCCCAACGTTCCAGACGACTATCAGGTTGTCGCTGCCGGCGCTGAGCAGCACGTTGCTGGCGGAAGGGTGCCAGAGCACGAGGCCCACGCGCCGCTGGTGGTACACCAGGTCCACCACTGGCTCCGTCATTGTCCGCGACAGCCCGTAGTCGTACAGCTGCCATACTGCCGGACAAGGGGAGCTTTACTGCAGGAGGACACGGCACGGTAGCCACTCCAACCACGGCTCATTCAGGGAACGCAGACACTCAGCCAGCTCGGCTATGAGCATTCGTGGAGCTTTGCGTCTGTGTAGCGGCCTTGCTATCCCTTCCCCAGTACCTGTGTGCTGACCTGTGAGTGACCTCACGCCTCAATGCTGAACCGATGTAACAAAAACAAAACAAAAAAATCTCCAAAAACGCAAGAACGCACAAACACACGCACGCACGTACGCACACACACACATATACAAAACAGAGAATGTGCGTGTTGGTGAAGGTCTAGCCCTTGTCAGTGTGTTTCTTCAGTCAGTAGTCTAGGTCAGTGAATTTAGTGACGCCCGCCGACGGGTGCAAGGTCAGCTCCGCACCGATTCACGGCGCGAGCGCGCGTGACGGGGGCAGGCCAGCGGCGCGCCGGGGCCGGCCAGCTGCCGGCACGGCGCCGACCCGTCAGCTCCAGGCGTGGTCGGGAGGCCGCTTCTCAACGCCGTCTATGCATAGCCAACTTCACGTTTCCGCGAGTCATTGAAGGCAAGCTGGGCATGCTGACTCCCGCAGAGAAAACAGACAGCCTATGTAACACAATATGATGAAGAAATTGGATATCATCGCCGAGTGTGGAGGATGTCCCCGACGGCATCAAGATTTCTGTTATTCCTACTCTGCCCGTAATAGAGTGGCGACGCAGAAAAACATGTGTCTGCGCCCTGACGCAGTTGAGCATGACAGCTTCTTGGCAACACTGAGACGCAGGCGGCACTGTGCCGCCCTGCCTATCGGCGGCCGCGTTTGGAATCAGCCCGGCTGGGCTGGGCCGTCGCCATGACGTCACTGCGCCGGGCGGCGTCCGGTGGCGCCGCGTGGCCGTATGCCAAATACGGCAATCGGCCGCTCAGCGCCCCACTAATCGCCCCGACTCGCAGCGCGTCCACGTGGGTGAGGCGGGCCACGACGCCGGGCCGGGCCGACGGCCCACAAAGCGGCGCTCGCCGCCGCCCCAGCACCGCTGCACGGCCCACTAGTCGCCCGTGGAGTGAGCGGACCGGCGGACCGGTTTTTACGAGTGGTCCTCGAGCGGGCGGGCCGGCCGGCCTGGCACGGCACGCCGCGTGCGCCTCGGTTACGTCTTCCCTCATCTGCCGGCTGGACCGGGCAAATGGAGCGCCCTCCACCGAGTGCAGACCACTGGCGAGCCCGGCGCCCGGACGGCCGGCCGACCGTGGGCAGGCGGCAGCTCGGCTTCAGCCGCCACACTCAGCACACCACGTGGGCGATACACGCGGGGGTGCGCTGTGCATCCAGCCGCCACACTCAGCACACCACGTGGGCGATACACGCGGGGGTGCGCTGTGCACCCAGCCGCCACACTCAGCACACCACGTGGGCGATACACGCGGGGGTGCGCTGTGCACCCAGCCGCCACACTCAGCACACCACGTGGGCGATACACGCGGGGGTGCGCTGTGCACCCAGCCGCCACACTCAGCACACCACGTGGGCGATACACGCGGGGGTGCGCTGTGCACCCAGCCGCCACACTCAGCACACCATGTGGGCGATACACGCGGGGGTGCGCTGTGCATCCAGCCGCCACACTCAGCACTCCACGTGGGCGATACACGCAGGAGTGCACGGTGCACCCACCCGCCACGTTTGGCATCCCGCCCCGGAGCAGAAATCTGGGACCTGGACGGGGGCGTAAGCCGACCAGCAGCGCTTCCAACCTTGCATGGAGTCACCGCCCCTGCTTCCGACGCGATAACGGTCGCGATCGCCTATGACAGCCATAACCAGAAAGCACCTCGAAGAACGGGTATGGATTGCGAAAAATTCAACTGCCAGTGTCAGTACGACGCACGAAGTGTTACATCAGCAGCACCGAGTCTCACAAAACCTTCAATCATTGCACCCATCTTTCGAAAAAGAACAGAATGAACTGACCTCTAAACTTCGCGGTGTGCTGGTCACCCCACACAGTGTAACAGTCCGTTCCATTACGTGCCGTAGAGCCCCGCCGCTCGCTGCCTTTGCAGGCGTACATGGGAAGCCCGCGACTGCAGCAGCTGGGTCAGGCCGACCCGACCCGACACCCGACCAAGTCTCACGACACCGGCCGTCTACTCACCTTTGACCACGCAGTCTTCGGACGAGGACGCAATCACGTTGTCGTTGAACGGATCCCACGCAATATCTAGCACGGGTCCTTTGTGACCGCCAACGATGGGCGCATCCGGCGCCTGTCGACCCATCTGTGGACACCAGAGGTCAGTCAGAGGTCACGCTGAGGCCCGCCACGGATGACCCCTGACCCGGCACGCACGCCGGCGCAGCACTGCGTCCAGCTTGGCCGAGCCGGGATGGCGCCTGGCGCGGTCCCCAGCCGTCGATCATTTTTGGATGATGTGCAGCGGCAAGAGTCCGGTCCAGCGCGTGTCGGGCCTGCCCGGACGCGCCGAGGCTGTACGAGCGCGCGTCACCGTCACTGGCTCGGCCGGCCTCCTCAGTGCCTCATCAATGCTCAGTCGGCGTCGTGCGGGTGTTTGTCTGCAGTAGAGGCCCTCACGGGTCGGAATGATGCGCCGGTACCCAGACGGAACGAGTGCAGGCCGAGTCGGGTTAGGAAAGATCCACGACTGGGTACGGGTACAGGTGCGGGTGGAGAAATGAAGAAATAGAGTAGTGACCTAGGAAATATTTTACGACTTTGTCATGTTGTTTGGTTACTTCCGGTCCTCTTACTTCAACTCAGTTGTCAAACTCCCAAAAATGGTTCCAAATGGTTCGCAGAATGGCAGCCGGCCGACATGGCCTGTGATTGGTTTAACGCCGAGAACCCCAGCGCCCGGCAAGCGCCGACGTGGTTCTGTGTTTAATACGGCATAAAAGGGGCTCTGCGGTTTTCGGCCTGTAGTGGTAGTGCAGTTCGAGATCGAGTCTGGCAAGTTGAGCATGGCCCTTTCTTAACCATCTCACAAAGGGTGATCAAGGGGAGGTGTTCCCGCCGTCGCGCCACGTCAGGCCGCCTCGGCACTGCCTTAGAGGCTATTTTCAGCCGTCGGCCCGCGGTCCGGTCACCCATATGGATGCCAAGGAGCTAGCATTGGCTGCCATTGAACGTGTGACGGAGATTTTGCGGGAGGGTGCCAGATTCCTTTTCATTGCGCTAACCTTGTTCTCATTACATTCCGCCAGTGCCGGGACTGGTGGACTGGCGACTCCGGCCACGAATATGTAGGATGTGTCACTAAACATGGTAAGGAGCAGCATCCGCCAGTGCGCGCAGAGGCAACTGCGGTGGTTCGGGCTGATGGTGGCCGTATCGCTCACGCGTTGCAATCAAAAATCGGAAAAAAATAATTACGTTTACGCGTCATATTTCGTAGCTGGTAGCGGAAAGACGCATCGACAAATTCTCTGAAACTCCGCGCGTCCGTCTTCACTGTATTTTCATTTCACACGCAAAACACACCATCTATTACCTTATTTTTCGAACCTTAGATCTTAATTTGGTTTCTAAATATTTAACTAGGTATCGCAACTGGAGGGGGTAGGGGGAAGGGCCGACGCAATGATTGCTGTCAAAGCCCTCCAACTGTACTTGTTCCCTATCGGCGTCAATTTGCGACCGCTGATATCAATCTAGGTCATTGTGATCACGCATGTTTTGTATTGCTATGCAACTGGTATATTTGAGTATATTACCTACAACCATCGGAAAAACGCAACTTGGATTTTTTGGCACTATGCCACTTGGCAATTGTTCGAATTGTGTGCTCCGTCTTTGGTAGGTTAAGGTTCAACCTGCTTATGAGGCCAACTATTTCGCCCATCTGTCACGTGATACCTCCCACGTTGCGACAGGATTACCGACGTTCGGCGCAATATGACGAACGTTTCAAGATGATTCATGCTTGAGTACATGTGGAAGACGTGTCAGATTTAAACCAAAGCTGAACAAACAAGCACGTTCATAAAACAAACAAGCAGCATGTCCCAATCGCCAACAAGTGAAGTGCATTAATGATGTAGTAAAACCTGACTGTCATGACTTTCGCATATGTGTCATGGGTCACGACCCATTCGGATAAAAGAGCTGAAACATTGACAAGATGCGTTAAAACGCCATTAAGCCAGCCAATGCAAACAGACTGATCATTCAACGGTTACCACACTATTCAACAAAAACCTCAGGCTAATTTACATTAATTTCTATCGTCCAACAAACCGTCTTGAACGACTTTTTTCTCCAACACCCACCAACGATATGTCATCAGTCGTCACCCACACCCCAATCGCAAAACCTTCTCATCGGGTCTAGTTTCCTCTGTGTTCTCAATGCACATTATATACGGCAGCTGCGCACCAACCTTGCCTACATTCGCGTCTGCGCGCGCCGGAGTCGGCCGCATTGTATACGCCAGCCCCGCGCCAACCTTGCCTACATTCGCGTCTGCGCGCGCCGGAGTCGGCCGCATTGTATACGCCAGCCCCGCGCCAACCTTGCCTACATTCGCGTCCACGCGCGCCGGAGTCGGCCGCATTATGTACGCCAGCCCCGCGCCAACCTTGCCTACATTCGCGTCTGCGCGCGCCGGAGTCGGCCGCATTGTATACGCCAGCCCCGCGCCAACCTTGCCTACATTCGCGTCTGCGCGCGCCGGAGTCGGCCGCATTGTATACGCCAGCCCCGCGCCAACCTTGCCTACATTCGCGTCCACGCGCGCCGGAGTCGGCCGCATTATGTACGCCAGCCCCGCGCCAACCTTGCCTACATTCGCGTCTGCGCGCGCCGGAGTCGGCCGCATTGTATACGCCAGCCCCGCGCCAACCTTGCCTACATTCGCGTCTGCGCGCGCCGGAGTCGGCCGCATTATGTACGCCAGCCCCGCGCCAACCTTGCCTACATTCGCGTCTGCGCGCGCCGGAGTCGGCCGCATTGTATACGCCAGCCCCGCGCCAACCTTGCCTACATTCGCGTCCACGCGCGCCGGAGTCGGCCGCATTATGTACGCCAGCCCCGCGCCAACCTTGCCTACATTCGCGTCTGCGCGCGCCGGAGTCGGCCGCATTGTATACGCCAGCTCCGCGCCAACCTTGCCTACATTCGCGTCCACGCGCGCCGGAGTCGGCCGCAGACGTCCCCGGGAGCATTCCCCCGTTCTCGGGGTTGTCTCGGAGACATTGCTCTCCGAGCTCGCCGGCGCGTGATCGGCTATTGCTTGGCGTGGGGGGGGGGGGGGGCGACATTGCTTGCGTCATAAGTGGATGCCCATCTGTTATGAAAACAAATTGCTTACGAAACCAGAAAGTGGCCCATGGTGCCGCGTATCAGTTCGGGTTTCATCGGCTCATGTGAGATCGAATATGGTAGAAAAGGAAGAAGCGCGAAACCCATGCCGATGAGTAGCTTCTCAACGCAAAGAGCGAATGGAAAGGAAGGATTACGAACCGCGAGGTGTACGACGAGAAGGCCCATTGGGATCACTGCAAGCACGTTACATTCCGTGTTTTATGCATTCGTGTACATGGCTGAAGATTTCGTACACATTTTACACCATAAACATGGGGGTATTTCGATAAGTGGACAAGACTGGATGCCTAGACCGCTTTGACCCCATGGTATCCGATGGGAAGTCAGCGGAACAAAACAGAAGCCCATCTAAATTTGATGAGTTCAAGCGTTACGTTGCTTACGAAAAAACACCTTTTGTTTGTGCTACTGAGAAATGGCTTACTGAAGAATGTTATGAACATGCTGCAAGGTTTTGAAATCGAGAGGCATTCATTCTGTGTCAAAGGGATATGCATCAATGTGCACTAGGAAAGCTTGCTAGAGCTGGGGATTCACAGCATTTTATGATTCAAACATTAGGATATGTAGATTTGGGTTTGAATTCGAGCTCAGAATTGAAAAACGTGTGTTCAAAAAATATTAAATAAAGAGGAAAAAATCGATAAAAATTGTATCTAAAGAAATTGGATCGAACCCTTGCATCAAAGTCTCGAACTAGCACTGATATACAACCAAGGAAAGGACCTGTAGACTAGTCAGATGGAGAGCCAACCGATTCAAATGTCTTTGTTTCAGTTCCCGGAATGTAATGTTCGTCTAAAAGGCAGCTAATATATATATATATATATATATATATATATATATATATATATATATATTAGCTGCCTTTATATCTATATATATATTTACATCGGATACATGTAAATATATATATATATATATATATATATATATATATATATATATATATATATATATATATATTTCGAACCTCTATCATGGCCGCGATGTTGAATATTCCAAACTGTTTAGACAGTTTCAAACCCGTCCATCAGTGTTAATCAATAACAATCAAGTATTTAATTAAGTATTTAGTTAATTAAGTAAGTTAATCAAGTATTTCAATCCTACAGATCCATATCAATAACTCTAAATGGGTGCTGTTTGGCTGTTCAGGTGTCGCATACTCCTGGGGATAGAATGAGAGGCTGGGAAATGGTTAGCTGTTACTCCCCCCCCCCTCCCCACCCGAATGGAAGTTCTTATAAATACTTGAAATGTTCTACTTCCCTGCATCGCGTTATAAGAGCCAGCGAGTCGGTAACTACTATTTGACCTTGTCTTTTGAGCTACTGACTTTGTTCAAGCTTCTTCTAGGGGAGGGGCTGGATACTAACATGGAAGGACATAAGCTCTCTGACTAAATCTCAGACACACATGGTCTCGCAGCCCTCTCCCGTACTTACACACATGACCTTACGGAGGGTTTTGGGACAGAGGTAACGGTAAAGGAAGATGTAATGTTCAGAGGTTGCATGCGGGCCCAAAGGATAAGCTCTCCAAGGCTTCAAGCTGTAACCAGGCACATTAGCCCCAAAAGAAGTGTTCTTGAGGCAGTGAGATGGGAAGCAATGTTAGCAGTTTGTTTGTGAAGTACACATTATTCAAGCCTTCGTTAAATGAGTCAAAACATGTACCTGGAAGCATAAACACGACACAATTAGGGTGATTTGATGATCAACAAAACTCGCTGAGGCAGCTGTTAATAAACAAAACACACGGAAAGTGAAGCGACTCAATCTTGCCAATAAACTATGATTCCACAAGGCAACACCTTCCTTTTTACTTGAACTTGCATATGCAAGCGGACACAAAACTTCACCTCCAAACTGATAGAGAAAAACACAATCCGGCCCTGAGATCCCAAATCAAAATTCTCACTCCGCGGGTCCTCTC